TATCGCTTCTACCCGTCTAGTTCTGGTCCACCATACTATTCAGTTATTAGTGAAAAATGACTCCAAGAAATTATTACTTTCCTCGGTCTTAAGCTGACATCGTTGAACTGCGTAAAACGGTCAAAACGGTCCCTACTCGGGCGCGAAATTCGTAGCGCTACTTTGGTTTTCTGGACGGTTGAGGGGTTTTCGGAAAACTCGGGCGCCACTCTTAGGATCATAGTGGTTAAGGGCCCACGTGCTCCAGGTAGCTTGCTACAATGGAGACGGAACTACTCGTCTGGTTCTGGTCCACCATACTATTGAGTTTTTCGTGAAAAATGACTCTAACGTATTATTTCTTCTTTGGAAAATTTTAGTTCCTCTTTATTTATAATCAGTGAGAACTCGCCTTTCGGTGAACGGGACAAGTGTCGTTTTTCTTGATTTAACTGTTAGCTGCTCTTGTTCGTACCAGTTTTCCACTATTCTTCTTTCCGATAGTATGTTGACCAATTTACGTCGTACCATAATCGTTAAATTGTCTGCGTAGCCTAGGCAGTACAAACCCTCCGGAAAAAATCGTTTACCAGTATGGCTCACAGGAGTGGGGATAGGACTCCATCCATAAGACATCCTTTTCCGACTGCTGCCTTTATGGTCTTCTCCTAGTGTGGATAGTATTGTTCTGTTCTTCAGACTAGTTTCTATCGGTTTGCACAGTGTTGTTGGAGCTCCTCTCCTCTCCAGCGGTCCAACAAACTCAATGTTGAGGCCTGATTAAATGCTCCTTCTATGTCCAGGAAAGTGGCCAGAGCTCTATTGACTTTGAGAGCAGCCTATTTAGGTCATCCAGTGATAGGTCTGTCATTTCTCATGGTTGGTATGCGTATTGGCTTTCACATAGAGGGAAGGCCTGCAATGTATTTTGTATGTATGTATGCCTATCCACTAGCCTTTCGAAAGTGTTGAGCATGCGCTCATCGGTCTATATGACTTAGGGGTCCGATTGAGTGTTTTGCCTTCTTTTGGCTTCTACCTGCTGCCACCCATTTGGTACCACGCCCCAAGTCAGACACGCTCTGTAGGTACAATCTGCATAGGATGGCAATAGAATATGATAAAGGGAGGATTTATCGTTTACTTGTTATAAAACAACCTTCTTTTGTAAAGTCTATTTAAATAAATCAAACTACAATGCACCTATGCCAAAAATGCTGATTATTACAATACATGCTTATTGCTTGTTTCCTATGAAATAACCCCAATAATTTATCTGATACTCCAGAGGAATGTGAGGTGGTGGATCCCTACGTTAGAACGCTAATGGTCACCTGACTTCCCACCTGTTTTTGCCATATGCTCCACCTCCTCGCTCCTCATACGGAAAGTGTCAGATTAACAACGACCGACAATATATATAGAGTGATTTATTGTGTTTCTATTTTTATTCCTACACTACAAGGATGTCCTGTCCCTATTGCAGTAGTACTGGGTATATTTCGTCTGGACATGGTGACTTGAAAAGTTTAACTGTTTCCCACTGCCATCTCCCTGGTCTTCGCAGCCTTGCTCTGGGCGGTGTGTTGTAGAGGTAATTTATTATGATTGTTGTAGGAAAGTGAGCTTCCATGACCAATTTTGGGCTTTCCTCAGCTGTCTTTGATATGTGTTGTCTTTTTTTTTGAGAAACTCGACAAGGTTTGCTTCGTTCTCGTTTGCTAGGACTTTGTGAATTCTCGAGCATGTAGGGGTCTGGTTTACCCTTCCGCAGAACCTTTTGTTGTTAGCTATATTCTACCCTTCACTGAGTATGAATTGTAATAAAGATTCACCTCTAGCGTTGATGTTCGTTGCATCCTATTATGAGTTGGAGCTTCTGTTCCTCGCAGTAGGATTTAACATCCTTTAGTATCTTCGAGGGACATATTCTCTCTTCTCCGGGGAAGTAGGCGGAGCATGTAATCCAGGTTTTTCTTCCCTTCTCCGTAGATAGTGTTAGGACCGCTGGAACAACATCGCCTGAGCAAAGCCCTGGGATCAATATACAAATTATTCTTTTATTATGTATAATACATGCACGGGGTCTAATCGCCGTCCTATCGTACAGTAACTTACCTTAGGAGGCCTACGATTTTTCTATTATTTATACAAGGTTCCTGCAGGAGGGCAATATCCAGGGCTCCGCCAGCTGCATTCATATATCCTATTCACAATCCATATTCCAAAGATGAAGGTAAATTTATCACCTTTCTCTATCAAATAGCACTGAAAGGTGATAAGTTTTACCTTTACCTTTGGACATCGGATTGTGAATAGATAATAGTTATCGTGCAGCAGCGGAGTATCTGGATTTTTGCGAACGCCCAACCTTTGTCAATATCTTCCAAAGAGCTTCTCTATTGATCAAATCAAATGCTTTCACTTGATAATGAAATAACTCTTATCTGGCTTACCTATAATCTGCCTACACGGACGACCAAGTTGATTTTAATTAATTGGCAATTGATTATGGATTTCGCCTCGTCTGATTACTTGTTAGCGCTCATAGAAATATGCTCTATTTAAAAAATCTCGAGGCTTGACCACCAACCAATAACCTCTCGAAGAAGGAATTAATGGCAATTAGAAACCGGAATTCAGCGGAAGATATGATCATCCTACCTGCGGATAAAGGAAACGCAACTGTCCTGTTAAAAACTGAAGACTTCAACCGGAAAATTCAGGAACTCCTTGATCCATCTACCTATCGGAAGCTACAGAAGGATCCCACCCAAGCCATACTCAGGAACATCGACAAACTGGTTAGGTCATCTGCCTTATCAGTCACGGTTAAGAAAGCAATCATAAAAACGGAAGCGGTTCCACCACGACTTTACGGCCTACCCAAAATTCACAAATCTGAAGTCCCGCTAAGACCCATAGTGAGTGCACCTGGAGCACCAACGTACAACCTAGCGAAACATCTTGCATCGCTTCTTCAACCGCATATGGGAAAAAAAAGCTCTTACGTCAAGGACTCCATTCACTTTGTCCAGAAAATTTTAGGGATATTATTCTCCAACCTAAGGATATCCTGGTCAGCTTTGATGTTGAATCTCTTGACTTGATATCAAGTACCTTCCCCAATGACATATTCGAGCTTTTCCGGACATGTCTCACTGGTAGTTACTTCCTGTGGAACGGCGATTTCTACGAGCAAATGGACGATGTACCTATGGGAAGTCTGCTCAGACGGTCATAGCCAACTTCTCTATGGAGGATTTCGAGAGGAAAGCTATAGAATCTTTTGACCACAAACCAACGGTATGGCTTCGATATGTAGATGATGCCTTTGTAGTTTGGAGTCATGGAGAAGAGAAACTTAACCAGTTCCTAGGCCACCTGAACACGCAACATCCTAGCATACAATTTACCATGGAAAAGGAGAAAACCCAAGAAATCGCCCTCTTAAATGTACTCATAAAGAAATCTGGATGAAAACTAAGCCACACAGTGTACCGAAAACCCATACACACAGACAGGTACCTGCATGCACTCTCAAACCACCATCCAAGGTAAAAAGGTGGAAGTATAACAACTTCAACAGAACGTGCTTGGAACATATGCGAGTCACAACATCTCGAGCAAGAACTGGATCACCTCAAGTTGGCCTTTCTATCAAATGGATACAATCCATCTGAAATCGATAGGGCCATGTGGCCCAAAACGGCCACACGACAAAACGTGGATGAACAACCAGTGTTGGCTAATACATATCTGCCTTTCATTTCTCGGATGACAGACAGGATAGGGCAAGTCTTGAAAAAACACAATATAAAAACGAGCTTCAAGCCAACAAGGAAAATACAGCAATCAATCAGATCAGCCAAGGATAAGAGGAACCCACTGTCAAGCGCTGGATTCTATCGTATACCATGCACATATGGTAAGGTATACATAGGAACAACATAAAGATCCATGGGAACCAGGATCAACGAGCACAAAAGAAACTGCAGACTAGGACAATCGGAAAAATCGGCATTAGCGGAACATGCGTGTAGTGAAAGGAATCACGAAATACTATTTGGTGAGGTCAATTCTCTTGCACCGACTTCCGGATACCACAATCGTCTTGTACGTGAACTTATAGAAATCCACAAACATACGGAGAACTTCAACAGGAAAAAAGATACACTAAAACTCAACCAAATTTGGAACCCAATCCTCAAAAACGCAAGAAAGATCCCACTGAGTACAGAGAAAGTTCAGATTAGCCACGTGCTGCGAAGCTCCGCCCCTCCCCCACCACATCCACTCACACATAAATACAACTTGCGGTCAGGAACGCGTCAGTCTGCTACTAGAATCGGACATGGATACATCTCTGAAGATGCACGCCACGCGTGCTAGCGAAACTTAAGGAAAAAATTCCAACTCAAGGCGGTCATTAAGCCCGATCCTAAGTCGATAGACGAATACTAATTTGATTAGGGATCTCTGAACGTGACCATAAAATATAATATTATTCATGTCCAAACCCTCTAATGTAAATTGGCAAGCTTCAATTATAATAGAAAGGAAGATGTCCGGTATTTGGACCCTTCAATAATTGGGAAAGGTTATATGACAAACTCCACTAATTAAGATGGTACGTTCAAATAACATTCTCTGGTCCAAAGAAACTTACTCTTCATTAAAAAGACTGAAAAAAGTAGGTTTTCGCAAACATATGACTTTAAAAAAAAAAACTTTTGTGGCCTAGCGATAAAGTAGCCAATAAAACTCACCCCTGGGGTATAGTTCTTTTTAATGAAATCCTACCCATACAACTTAAAATTTAAAGTGTGCGAGCCCGAGGATGCCGCAAAACCGTTTTATTAACACACGGAGCGTATAAATTTCATAACGAAGTTCCAGAGCGATAATACAACTGGAATTTCGGATTAATACTTCGGTCAGCGGCTCTATACCAGTTCCCATAGTAATGGAGATTTATTGTAATTGAAAATCCGAACGATTTATTTATTTTTTTGTTGCAGAGCTCGCTGAGGTCACAACGTCATCACAGAGATGTTCCTTCGACTAATCAGCCAGAAACTACAACAGCTACTTTATTGGAAAACGGTAAGCGATAAACTATATTTCTAAAAATGTTGTATAAAATTTGAAAAAGAAAAACGGGCGGCCCTGTTCGATTTTCTCATCAAATACCAGCGACGATGTCGAAAGGAATGTTCATAAAAGTTTTCGTCTTGGATCTTTCGTAATATAGAAGTTTTTTTATATAGGAAGACAAGATATTTTTCATATTTAAAATTACTTTTGCCCTGAAGACTTTCAAAGAAAATAATATTTTTTTTTTCACGAATATATATGGGTCAAATAAATATAGTTTTTCTCAAAAGCCCCTTTTATCTTTTATATTCCTCCGCTTCCCGAACAGCGATTGATGGATATACTGATAGTTCACTTGCCTAAGCTGTTTATAGTCTGACTAGAATTTTTCATAAAACCTGTGAACCTTTTGGCAAGATGACTTGTATGGATATGCCTTACGTTATTGACATGGCATGTTATTAGAAAAATAGGTATTAGGTCTTTCATGGATTCGCATACAACTGATCTGGGCATTATCGAAGGCGAAGCGGTAATAGTCAAAGTCTAGTGGTTCTATAGGAAAGACCTGAGTATTTAGGCATATTTTATAGGATTTTATGATTCTATCATTTTCGGCATGTGCTCTCTTATGAGTAGTCGTATCGCCAACCAGATGTAGTTTTGGAACACTCTCATGACTGGTCTAGAAGTTACAAAATAACTTTTCCAAAGTCTTTGGACTATATTCCTTCACCCACTGGAAATAAAGCCATTACTACTTCTTCGTCGATGTCGCAGAAGACTCAGGTGCTACAAATAGTACTAGACTGACGACTTCCGCGTATGATTGATTCTTAAAAAACATGAATAATGGAGCAGGAATCGATAACTTTGACCACTACCATATCGCATCGCCTTTGATTACTGCGGTTGTTAAAATTTGCAATAATTTTATTATATTTCAGATCCTTGTCTGTCTCACTACTGTCCCTCGGGACGAGATTGCAAAGTACGAGAAGGAGTACCGATATGCGACTGCGCGAAAAAATGTTTACCGCATCGTTCCATATGCGCATCGGATAAAGTCGTTTATCCTAGCCATTGCCACATGCACAGTACAGCATGTCACAATAAAAGACGACTGACCCAGATGAATATGAATTTTTGTCAGAAATCTGTTAAAAATGGTAAGATGATGAAATAGCAAACCAGCTGGTAGTCAACGGGAATTTATTTTTTACGTCAGTCACCAGCTACTGATCCATTTTCTTCATTATTGTCAGCCTTGCTGGAAGCTTCAGCCTTTCCGATCTTATCCTGCATCTGTGTAGAATTTTTTTTATTATAGGATAGCCACCTGATAGGCTTGGTCATTTCTTTCCCTCCCCTTTTGATTGTTCTCTCCTTGTTCTGGTTGACAATACTCCTTGGCCTCTTGGTTCTTCATTCCTTATTCTTGTTTCTATTTCTATCCTGTCACGCACTTCTTTTTTCTTTTTTCCTTTCTCTGTTCACCCCACTTGTTGTCCTAGTTAGTTTTTTCCCAATATTGCCGGCTTTCTCTATTCACTACCCGATAGCTTCCTTCATCAGATTATTATTTTTCTCTATCAGTTCTTATTTATGTAGGAAGCAATCATGAAACAGCATCATCTCATCATATTGGAGGCACACACCGGGACCTAGACAGTCAAAAAGGTTTATTACCCTTTCAGCAAAAAGAGCTGAACAGCTCCTAATCATGAGCAGACCAGACATCAGATTGGTGGTGGGACTGCTCACAGGACACTGCCCAGTAAAATACCATTTAAGGTTAATGGGCATAGCGGAAGACGATCTCTGCAGATTCTGCTCAGACGCAATAGAAACCGCAGAGCACCTGCTCTGCGAATGCCCAGCCCAATTCTGCAAGAGGCTCAAATTCCTCGAGGGGCAACACTGTCACCAGAAGAAGTGGGCCAACTGACACCCAGGAAAATAGCTTCCTTCGGCAGAAGTCTACGCTTCCTGGAGACGAATTAAGATGTAGAGTCACGCACAAAATATCTGCAAAGGTAGCAGTGCTGAGCGGCTGCAAAGCCGAAACGACTCCCCCGAAATCTACAATCTACAACATCATCATCGAATAGAAGGAGATGCAAAGCTCTTCAATAAGAGAATAAAAGGAAAGAAACAAAGTGTATTTCATGCAAATTTTGTTTAATGAAAATCAGCATAGTCGAGCGCTTTCGCCTTTCGCCATCATCAGTACTACCTGCAAACTGCAAACGAGCAAAGATGATATTTATAATAGAGCTACAAGTCATCCTATCTTTGGGATGTCAAGTTAAAGTCAAACCTTTGGTAGAAAACAGCTGTTTTTTGAAAAATTGTCAATTGTCAAACGCAGAGTGGGTAGGTTGTGATTCTCGAACCTAGCTGATTGATTGTTGATGATGGACAAGTTGGGTTATTAGTACAGTCATATAAGGATTCATCTACTGAAAAAATCGGAGTGAGCTGTAACTTCGCACCTTTACTTTTATTAAACGTCCCCACGAATATCTTGTTTGCGTTTCAAGATATTCAAGGTCAAATGTCACAGAAATGAGTTTTTCTTAAATATTTTGCTTTCGGTATGTCCCACGACTATTTTGGCTATGATGGGAAAAAAAAATTGGAAAATTCTCTTCAAAAAAATGTATTCAGATATTTTACGTCAAACCAACCGTTTCCACTTCATACGCCAGGAAAACAGAGGGAAGCACCCGTTTCCACACCACCCCAGAAGTAAGATGCAAGGCGCGTTTTTTTACATGGTTTCCCCTGTAGGCCTAATCCATGACCTTCCTTGTTGTGAAGTTTAGCTGTAGGTAGACAATGATGATGTGCTATCCTCATTCTCGTAATCTTAGGGGACAGATTCCACCACTTAATGTTAATGTGCGAAATTATACTGGAAAATCCACCGGTTGCTGATAGAATGGTAATCCATGAAAGATTTTAAATTGAAATTGAAAGATATTCAAACTGAAAAGGATATTTTTTCACCTTACCTGGATTTACACCCAAACTCCACTCAGTTGACCAGCTCTTTCAAGAAGTTCAAGTACAATGCGGAGGAATGCAAACGAAACCGTCTTTATTTAGCCGGTCGCGGCAAACGAAAAACCGCGGGTCTATTTTCTCGAACCACACGAAACAGGCGGAGTGTTTTTGGCGAATGATTTACCACGTCTTCGTCCTCTGTCATCTCCTCCAAATTCTCGTTCTTTGTCCCCATCTCCAGATTCTCGTCGTCTTCTGCCCCTTCTTTCACATCTTCACATCGATTAAGAGCACCGGAGTAGGTCGCTTGTTTGCCAGGAGCAGGAGTGACACTAGTAGAGGCGCAGGCAGAGTCATGGTTGCCACCCGGAGATAGTAAAATGTCACTAGATTCTTGATTTTGAATATTTTGAGTTTTTCCTTGAAGAAGATTTACCTTTTCCTTCAATAGACTAATGTTTTCTTGGAGGCTCGTATTCTTTGAATCCATATCCGTTAGTAATTTTTTGTAGAGGTTATTCTCAGTAGCCAAAATAGTGCTTTTCGTTGCATCTTCATCATCGTCACATGATTTTTTACACATCCATGACAGGCATTTTTGTTCACAATGGTCACAAAACCACATAGTATTGCTTTTTTCGTTCAGAATTTTCACCCACGTGTCCTTTATAAAAATGCACATTAAATGAAACTTCATTCGGCAATTTTTACACGCAATTATCTTATTATTTACAACTAAATTTTCAGAGCACTGTAGTATAACATACCCGGGTTCGTTATGATATGTAAAAGAAACGAAAAATTCGTGAAACGACTACTTTATTATTGAAGCAAATCATACCGTTCTCATCCAGGAACTAACGAGGGGAAAGAGCACGACAGAGAAACCCTCGATCTAACATTCCTCAAAAATCGAAATATACTGTATCATTTTAATAATGATTGTGAGTCATTCATTCAATGAAAGTTGAAACTAGGTACCGCCCCTGTTCTTGTGCTAAAATTTTAATTACACATACTACATTCAATCAACACTACCTATAATCAATACAGAAGAGTTTTTTGTTAGTTAGCCGGTCTGCCGGAGGGTACTGTGGTCCCATACGGGATGCTACCCATCTATAGTTGTTATTTGGAGCCAATATCTCTTTCTTTTGTTTGGTAGGATATTCGCTCGTCACGGTAGGAAAATGTTAGTAAATTGTTGTTTACAGCATGATACGATTTTTGTTAAATACATGAACAATGCACATGTTATAAAAAAATGTTATAAACAAACAAAAAAAACATAAAAATGAAAATAAGGATACTTATATAAATAATTGAACTCTCAAAAACAAAATAACAATTATTCAACTGACCTGTGATCGCTCCTTGACACACACACTAATAACAAATTGGATTGAACAATCAGTTTAATACAAAATAAAAACAAAAATTGAATAATGAATAATTTTTCGAAATATTCCTGACCGTTTATCGTTAATTTAATCCTTTTTTTTTTTTTTAATCCTGGGAATCGGTCACATAATGAAAACATTATGTGACCGATTCCCAGGATTAAAAAAAAAAAAAAGGATTAAAATAATGAATAATGACAGACAGGTTTCGGTACCTTAGTTTTCTGTGGCGCGCCCCGTTCAATCCTAAGCCTGACGGCGCATACATGGTTGCAACATTTACTTTTATTCCGTAAACTTTTTTTTTTTTTTTTTAAGTTAAGATTCAAAGAAATAATGTTTTAAATCGGTGGTTTTCCTCAGCACTTTACGCACACATCTACTTCGGCCGCCATCTTGATATAAAATAATGTGAAAATATCTTTCAAAACCACAAACCAACTGGGTTCTCAGCTGATATATGATAGGGTGGAGTCTACAGACTCTCTTGTGGTTCTTGTAACTGTTCTTATATAGGCAAGACTTGCAGAGATTTGGAAACTCGCATAACCGAAAACATGTCCAGAATCAACTCAGCATATGGAGAGCACATCCGCACCTCAAAATATAACTTCGACCCTCAGTCCAACTCAAAGATCATAAGAGCAGTTTCTTCAAAGAATTTCAACTTCCTCGAGGACATTGAGATTAGCAAGGAACCTAAAAGTAGTGACCATTGTTTCAACACCCAAGTCAGCCTCAACAGATGTTACATACCTTTACATAGGACACTAGGTACTTGATTGGTTTCACAATTATTCAATAAAAATGCCATTATTTCCAATTTCATATTATAACGTAATCCTGGTCAAGACAACTGCTCTATTATGAATTTCTTCTTCGCTCGCTTGCAGGTAGTACTGATGAGGGCGAAGGCCGAAAGCGCTCTACTACGCTGATTTTCAATAAACAAAATTTGCATGAAATACACTTTGTTTCTTTCCTTATCTGGGCATACACAAGGAAAAGTACGAATTGCAAGCAACGAGACATTGAATAACACTGACGAAAAAAGAACTGAGGGTAGACCACCAAACACCAAAACGCTGAGAAGAATAGACACATAGGATCTTGAATCAGGCAGAAGTCTACCTATATATGGACATCCATAAATTTCAAAAAAAAATAAAAATAAGTTGTTCTGCCTTCTTTACACGGTCTTATTCCTCTGTAAGTTTCCCACACATGTGTTTAAATGTCTCTCTCTTCCAATTTGTGTGTTACTGGGTTCCTAAGTATTATCATTATCTCATCTATTACTCCAGTATCCACTCATCTTAGAAAATTGCCCATTACAAGCAGCCGCTTCGTTTGCTCGAGCAAAAATCTCTCAAAAACTCAGTCCTCTTATCATCCCTAATACCCCTGAAAATCCAACAAATTTCTCTCATTTAATTAGGCATTGCCTTTGGTCCCATTTTTTGTTCAAACTTTGGACATGATATGTTGAGGGTATCTACTGGATAATGCTTCTTCCACCCGCATCGGCCTCAATTTGCGCATCAATACATTCAATCCCTTTATTTTTCCTCTAGCCTTTCTGAATCAAAACTGCCTCTCATGTCATTTCTTCACCCTTAAGCCAAGCTCTTACCCTATCATTCAATATTCATTGGTTCAACATCCACTGGTTGAAAATGTCCACCGCCTTATCTGCCACCACTTTTTACACAGTGAAGAGAATCTTTCTCTTACTCTCCGATACACCATTTTCATTCATTCTCGCTTTCCTCTCCATACATCTGCAAACGCCTCATTCGGAAACCTACGACTCGGTACGGTGTGTGCTATTTTAAACATTTCAATTCTTTCATTCAGTCACACTCTCGATATCTCTCGAAGTTGGAAATTACTCATAGAACGAGTAGGACTTCAGTTTTTTCGAAAGCTCCTGATTTTTCCTATTAGCAGTCCATTGTCCTTCGGCAGGCGTGAAGGCGAATATTTTTTTTTGCTCCAAGACATTATATTGAAATGCATTGATTATAAGAATTGTTTCGATATTGATCGATGAGATGAATAAAATGAAAGCCTAAAATGATTACCAGCAAGATTGCTAGTGCAATTGGTCAAAAAAGTTTGGCTGCATTCTAAAGTTTTTACTTAAACTTTTCCAGAACGGGATTGGATAAAAGAAAAATTGTCCGAAGAACTGAGACCGAAAAACGATTCTTCTGGATTATCCGCAGCGGGATTCTCCAACGTGCAGGTAACAATATAAATTGGATAATTTTAGGGCTTTTGTGCTGTTGCACTTTATTAGCGCAGTGGGATTTGGAGACGATGTAATAATAGTTTAGAGCGATAAAGGTCACGAGCTCTCTAATTTCATTTATTTCGATATAATATTAATGCACGAATTGCCTGTTTTGTTCAATTTAACAATTTCATGCTATTATAAAATATCATTTAAATTTGCCAAAAACTAAATTTATTATTGTTATGAAATGTAGAATATTTTATTTTGAATTTCAAAAGCCCATTGTCATTGTATGGTATGTATTGCTTTTCATCATATTCCGATGTTAATTACTCGCTTTTTGTTTCAGTCAGTTTTGGTTTTGCCCAGCCTCAACCCTGGGGATTTGAGCAATTTACTTAATGAAATTGAGGATCACTATTATGGAAGGGACGAATGTTCCATGCAAGAATACGAAGTGATGAAGGTAATACTTTTTTAATTAATTTAGAATTTGTGGTTAACATAATAAATATATATATTTTTTTAATTTCAGGATAATCTTCTTCTTTACAATCATGCGAAATTAATGTCTGAAAATCAGAGTAAGGATTACCTTTTGTCGATGATGTTTTCTCATTACGATAAAAATAACGATGAACATTTGGAAAAATATGAGTTGGATCAGGTAAGGGATATAAACTAAAATCTATATAAAGCAAAAACTTATTTGTATCTCCTCCGTATTCTTGAGGTAACACACAGTACAATCTCCGCTCACCAAGGGTGAAACTCGTATAATTAAAGTCAACCACTTTGTAATCTAACGGAATGAAGGCTTAGAAGGGTAGAAAGGGCTCTAGCTTCTAATCTAGTCAATTTCTATTATTATTTTGATTTGAATATTTATTTTATTTCTCATGCTGAATAAACAGTATCATATTATACATCTGGGTAACATGGAATTTTCCCTCAAGAAAAATAAAATTCCTCGTCCCTAATTGACAAATACCCTTCGGAAAAATTCCACTAGTTTCCTCTTCTTTTATTTTCCGGTTTTGTAAATATTGTGTTGCAACTGAACGAAAATGTGGACGCGATATAGGTGTCTGCTTCAATTACATTATGTTAACGGTTCAATGCAATTGGCCGAATGGTCTTTGCAATGATTTTCTCTGGGAAATTTCGCCCGAAGCTATTTCGTGATTTTTGCAATCTGGGTTTTTTTTTGCTTATTGTTTTGGAGAAAGATGACAATGCAAACCTTTGTTTGCGCTAGCGTATTATATTGTCACAACTGCCCGCTTTACGGGGGTGACATGGGGGGTTTGTAGCTTTGGAGGTTGATAGAGAGAAACTCGCTCAGGTTATATAAAAATATACATATATATTTTCCCAAATATAACCTTACATGTACGCTAACCCTATAAGATACATGACCCTTCGTACACTGGGGTCCCTATAGGGGGCCACACGTCAATGCTGCTTGGAGGACTGTAGGTTAGTTTATCGTCATCCTTATGCCTTGTCCAGAGGGGCGATCCCAACGAGAGGTAATTGCACTGGACAACGATAAGGCTGAAGATACCCAGAAGGGCGTTCCCAACGAGAGGTACTTGCACTGGGGAGACTTAATTCCAGAGGGGCTTTTCCAACGAGAGGTACTTGCACTGGTTCAAGTCTGCCTTTGCTGCGGCTTGCAGCGCAATTTATATCAATTTATTGCTGAATTGCAATAAACATCTGACCGAATCGGCAATTAAATTAATAAGGTTGAATACCGGGTCCTCCTTTCCTAAGCAGCTAGTTGACAATATAGTTTACATAAAATATGGTATGAGCTGTAAAGATACTTTTTATTCATCTGAAATTTCATAAAACTTTCTCAATTTAAAGTTTCCCTATAAAATAAACTTAACAACAACCCATGTTAATCGTGTCAGAATCTGAAACTTAATTCTAGAATATAAAGCATAAAACTTAAAAAATATATCTAAGTTTTTCACATGCTGTTAAGCTTTACATGAATATGTTATTATTCGTGGGGATAAAGCAATTTATTGAAAGACAAAATACTCTTTTATCTATTGAAAGCTTTCGCAATATTTTTTATTGGTTCGTCAGTCATTCTAAAATATAATATTCAACATAAAGTTAAATATAAATTCTTAAAGCTACTTACAGATCATGAGTACTTATTTAATATAGATTTCATTAAGATTCTATAACAGTGTAGAAAAATTTAGACAGATTTTAAAACTGGAGGCACCTGCTCACGTAAATTATGATTTCTTTTCTCATACCAGGCCAGAAATATCGGAATGCTATGCGCTGGTACGTTTTCTCACTTCCGTAGTGGCCCGCAGTTTCGGAATCGTGATACTGAGTGAGCACGTGTGGGACCCTCGTCTTTGCCCCCACTTGTTGAGGTTTTTCTTCGACTTCATCCGTGTATCGATACAGAACACCGTAATTCAGTATATATCCACATTCTGCCCATTTCTTGAAGTGGAAATTAGGGCTATTGGAGTCTTCCAAACTTTTAATGATTTTCGCAACTTCAGGATCTGCTAATTGTTCTTCTCGGACGTCTGCAGCGCTGAGTGTAGGGAAGTCGATCGAAACTAGGTTTATTCTGATGTTATCGTCGGTGTCGTCTCTTTCACATGGTGGTCTAGACAGTGTGTCGGCTATGACATTCTTCTTACCAACAATGTACTCAATTTTGATGTCGTAGGGCATGAGCTCTAGTGCCCAACGAGCAAGTCTGCCACTTGGTGACCTGAGTGTCATAAGCCATTTCAAGGCTTGATGATCGCTTTGCACAATAGTTTGTCATCCTTCTAGGTAATCCCTGAACTTCTTGAAGGCCCATACTACTGCAAGAGCTTCGCGCTCTGTGGTAATATAGTTCTGTCCAGTAGGTGTCAGCAGTCTAAAGGCATATTCTACTGGGCGCTCATCTGGTCCCTCCCCCTGAAGTAGACACGCTCCCAAAGCGTAGTCACTAGCATCCGTTCGTAGGATATATATGGCAATCTGGCGTTTTTTCGGTGGTAACATGTTCATGATGGCAGCGACTTTATCTTCACATGGACGTATTCCTTCCGTGGAGAGAATGTGTCCTAGATAATGGACGGCTTCACAGGCGAATGAACATTTAGGTTGATCAAGTGTTAACTTGTACTGCGCAAGTCACAAGAATACTCTCCTTAGCTCGATCAAATGGTCTTCGAAAGACGATGACATGATGATCAAATCATCAACGTATGCCAACATGGAGACGTCTTGTATTCCTGACCTAAACCTATCGATAAGGCGCTGAAACGTACTGGGCACGTTACGGAGACCAAATGGCATGCGCTTGTGACGGTAAATACCGAAAGCGCAAACGAATGCAGTTTTGTACCTATCTGAAGGCTTCACGTTGAGTAGATGATATCCGCTTCTGAGGTCTAAGGTGGTGATGTAACCCCTTTGCTTAGCTGCGTGCAAATGATCATCGATTCTCGAGATGGGGTATCTATCAGTAAACGGATTCGGATCTTTTGAAGGAATGAAAATTTCAGAAAATTCACATAGAAGTGAGTTGAGTATACATCGTTGTTCTTCGCTAAGCATCCGTTCCTTTTTTTGTTTTGCATACTGTCCCTTGACTATCTCGTATGCTTTGCTCTAGAACAGCAAAGTCTGTCTGTCTCGGTGAGCTCCGGAAATCTGTTCTTAAACATTTGTTGAATGCTGTTTTCCATTTTGGCATCTGACGGTTCTACGAAAACTACTTTGACCGTGGAGTCTTTTGAGTTAAGGGGGTTGCCCAGTTGCAGCATTGTGTTCACAGAAAGCTTCTTGTCCCACTTCTTCTCACTTATTTTCTTCCAAGCCTCGGAGAAGTTTATTCCCTCTAGCGAGGTGCAAGTATCCACTCTCGTTTTGTTCCATGCATAGTAGGATCCGCACCTTGGGCATAGGGGTAGCTTTTCGGTTTTCGGATCTTCCCTTTCTGTTATTTCTCTACGTTCTCCGGGTTGGGACGCAGCTATATTGTGTTTTTCCGGGCTTGTTTGAGCATCTGTCTCGATGGTCATCTTATCTATTTTCTCGAACCTGTTCTCCTCGAGCCAGTCTGATATTCTATTACCATTCATGTTTTTTATTTGTTTCGCAAGTCTCTTAACTAGTTCTTTGACTTTCTTGGTGTTCTGTTCCAGGTATTTCTGGAGGTCTGCACCGATCTTTGTGATCATATCTATGGTCTCCTTGAGGGAGAAATAGTCTGCACTTTTTTTCTTCTTGTAGATTTCGTTGTCCCCAGTTATAGAGGTATCAAGCAATTTTCTCTTTTTTCCATCTGCAGAGTCTGTGTGTCTGTTTGCGCCCGTGGACTTGCTGATTCTATGGACTTCTTCCTGCTCTCATCCCATTTGATGTCTAGGGTAATTGAGGATCTACGTTCAGCAGGTGGCTTGACTTTTGTGGGGTCGGTTTCAATGCTCAACTTTCTTATGAATGCAAGTATTTTTGACGGTTGCGGTTCTACTTTGTCACTCTGGTTTGTTCCAGTCATCTTTGCTGACATCTCAGCCTGGTTCCCTACCGAGGATGCCATGCAGTAGCTGGCTGATGGTCGTGGATGACCTGCAATATCACCAGCTTCGACGACCAGAACTGGGGTTTCGAGTCCCTGCTTCGTAAACGTTTCCTTATTCTTGCCGTGGTCTATCATAGTTTAGTTTTGTTTTGTAGGTATGGGGGGAAAAATTGGGATCCCCCTAGCCCTCGTTGCCTAATAGCGTCGGGGGTGGTAGTGTGGCGTAGAAGGGGAGGATTTGAGGCTGGGGGTGGTGTGTGGAATGGGGTCACCCCGGGTTTAGGGTGAGAGCCCAGCTAGGGTGCCTCGGGTTTGCCAGGCCTGTGACCGCAGTGCGGGACCCTGAGGTTGAGCTGTCCTTAGCAGCGGCTGACCAGTCAAATGCACGGTCAGTCGCTGTGCCCCTCCACCAGCGGCAAGGTCTCACAGCTCCTTGGAGGGGGTATTTACAGGATCTTCACCAAAACTATACCGGTTTTGAGGCACGTTGAGGAGGAGGTTAGCCGCTCTGATGAAATCAGTACCGAGAAGTGCGCGGCTGTTGTCGTGTTCAGGTACAGAGATGAATTTTGTAAAAAGTAATTTATTCTGTAGCAAGACATCACATCGAAACACTACGTTTCGCACCCGTATAAACGAATGCACAACCACATTGACCGTTGATCGCGATAGGTACCAGTGGTCTTACTTCCAGAGTTTCATCGTCCACGTAATTGAATAAAAACTCGACATCTCGTCCCACGATAACCGTATTGGCAATAGTTTGTTTCGGTTCGCAGTTCGGACAGTTACTTTTTATATATCCCCGCGCCACACCCGCAGCCTTATTCTGTAACTTGCGACCGCAGAAAATTGCACAATAGTCGCTGTCAAGTCGCTATCAAACGCGAGTTTTCTATTCAAAAAAAGCAACTTGCGACCGGTTGCTGGTCGCTATGTAACTGCTGTTGCTGAGAATAGGCCTGCCGTAACACGTGACACTGGATGCCGAAGGTTCCGGCGGCTTTGCAGGATTCAAAGTTACCGAAGGCGAATTTTGTCTATCAGCAGACTTATTTTTATTTATTCGCTTACGACATTCGTCAAATGTGTGTCCAGTGTATTTACAAAACGAACAGCCTTTTTTGACTGCACCGGAGTCGTTGTATGCTGTCGGTTCACTAGAAGCGTCAAAAGTCTCTTCTGCTAAGCGCGCATGCGTGAGTAATTCACTTAATGACGCTACTTTATCTCGGGGAACTTTCTCGCGAATTTTACGATGCATAAGTCCGTAAACCATATCAAGTTGGATCTCTTCCGCAAGCATACCAGGAGGCAGCTGTGCTAAGATAGAACGCGCTTTACATATAAAAATGTCTGATTTGATTCTCGAGTCTTGCTCACGGGCGAACAGTTCGCGATATACGCGGTAGGCAGGCTTGGCAGGTCGTTAGCGTAGATTTTACATCTTGGAACCACGACGCGGCGAAACCGTCCAAGAGCATTGGGAGACCTTTCAATGCAATTACGTCCGAAATGTCTGTGCAACTTTTAAAAATCTCGATAGCATCGATGTCCGAACCGTCAAAACGCGAAACACTTCGTAAAATTACCACTGTGAGCTACAGCGGAAGGATTTTGAACATATTGTGCATTACCAATGGCGAGACGATACATAGGTTCGCGAAATTGCTCCTGTGTAAGGCTGACGGATGCCATTTTGTTCGAGCGAAGGTTGTACGAGTGTCCCGAACCTTCCACGATGCAACAATAGCAATACAAAAAAAAATAAAAGGCTACTTACAGTTTGGAGGCTTCAAACCAAACAAATCACCCACCTTGACACTTCTTATGGAATAAAGACTACCATAAACGGGGCACTACCCTTGGGTCTACCTGTGTTTGATGCAAAATAGTCGATCAATCGCGACGCCAGTCCGCTTAAAACGGTTTAAAGTCAGTCAGTATTAGCCGCTTTCCAGCTGACCATGTTGAGCACGCAATCGAGCTTTTGCGCGCGAAAGCTTCAAGCGCATGTTCGTGTTCCAGCCATACTGCACTCCAAGAGCTGCTAACTTTTGCCTTCCAGAACACTTTCAGAACACTGTGCTGCATTGTGCTTGAAGCACAAACACAATCAGCTGGAAAGCGGCTATTGTCGCTAATACCAGACGTAACACAGCTGTTCTGATTGATAACTCGAACACAAAACCGGCAAAAACGTTAGGAAATCAAACGATGTACAAAACAACTTGTATTCGTAACGATTTCGACAAATTTTCGGTGATAATTCACACAAAAAGTACACAAAACCGGTGATTACTCACACAGTACCAAACGCGTCACAGTTGTTTACAATTCGGCTGTTTCTCGGTGATGATTTCCGTACCAAACGAGCGCGAGAAGCACCATGTGTTTTTGTCGAAAAACTACACGAAAATGGCGATCGGCATACAATAGTCACTCTACCAGTCTTGAAACTCACCGTGGCCCCACGTTGGGCGCCAATTTACAAGATAATTATTAGGGAAGCTGAGTACACGGGAAGAATTAAACGAGAACCGATAGAGAATATTGATTACTGTATTGTCTGGCTAGCGAAACGGCGAACTCCAATAGAATTTGCTGCTTTGCCAAACTTGACGGAAACAATAACAAACAAGTTAGTGAAATTTTTTTTTTGCTATATGGGCATAGGTAGTATTTTGAAATAGAAAAAATCCGGCAACATTGCGAAATGATGGATGTAGAGAGGCGTGATTATTCAGAGGCATGATTCTATTGGTTAGAGTCTGAACGACAGCACGCAGTGGCGTGGTTATTGGCGAAACTAGAGAATTTTTCTCTAATAATTTTATTGGTTTATTTCCCTGGTGTTTTCGGTGCCACTGAACCCAAAGACATGGCTGTCATCATGCAGTGTCAGTTGAGGTATCATTGAATATTTTTAGGCTACGCCCCTTTTTTCTTCTCCCTTTCGTCTCTACCAAGTTACCACTTGCCAGACTATATATTGGTCTTGTATTGCACTATCAGCGTTGACATTTCGTAGTTGACAGACCGTATATCAGGTTGACATCATACAAGGGACCAGCCGATCAGTGGCGTGGGGATTAGGGAATTTTGTTACACTTTATATTTATATTAAATAATATATTCTAGTATGACTGACGAAGCAATAAAAAATGTTGCGAACGCGTTCAATAGATAAAAGAGTATTTTTTCTTTTAATAACTGGCTTCATCCCCACGAATAATAACATATTCATATTAAGATTTAAGCCAAGATAATACCTAATATGTTGAGCTTTATTATAAGTGATCACAAGTGCCACAGGACTAAAATTTATTCTCTTACAGGTCTCATCCGAAGATCAAGACTTGGTGAACGTGATAAATTTGACTAGTGGCTGTTCCTTAGCCAGCATGATTGAGTTTGATGATACCGACAAAGACAACAAACTAAGTATCAACGAGTTTTCGGTAGCAATGAGCAAATTATACAGTAAGACTTCAACTCAAAGTCCTTAAGTAATCTTAATTGAAACTTTTTAAGGTGTATCTGTTGTATCCCTTGACAAAGCTCTAGAAGTCAACCAAGTGTCAGCTCGTCTAGGCGACAATGTAGAGCTTCACTGTGCAGTCACAGGTTCCCCAATTCCACCAGTACTGTGGAGACGTCACGGACAAGATTTAGCAACTCTGGACCAAGAAGATGTTAAAGTATATGGTGATGGCAGCCTGTATTTAACCAAAGTTCAATTGCAGCACGCTGGTAATTACACTTGTAGCGCTACTAGGAATCCTCATGTAGTTCAGACTCATGTGCTGACTGTACATAGTGAGTATATGAACTTATATAACGGTTGAATAGGTATTTGAGGAGTGAATTTTAGCTTTGCCTGAGGTACGGGTAATGCCCAAGATTCAATCAAAAAGGCCTGGAGAGGATGCTCAAATGTTTTGTCACGTGTCTGGGGAACCGTTTCCGCAAGTAAGAGTTTGTAGAATTGTATTTTTATTTTATATTATTAATTATTTTTTTAGGTTAAATGGCTGAAAAATGACGAGGAGCTGAAAATCGACGAAATCTCGAAGAAGTATCAGATTATTGGCAATGGAACTTCGTTGAAAATTAGGAAAATTGATTTTGCCGATACCGGGGCTTATATGTGTCAAGCAACGAATATAGGTAAAATTGGATATAACGAAATAATATATTAGTATCGTTTTGTAGCATTCTGCCTTTTCCTATCTCTGTCGTGTCCCTTTCAGAAAATTACACAAAGTTTACTCCTCTGGCTTCCAGCATTTTTACAGTTTAGTCTTAGTAGCATTTTTTTCATAAAATTTCAGGGGGACTTACCAGAGACATCAGTTCATTAGTTGTTCAGGACCAACCAACACCACAAAGTAAGATATTTGATTACAAAAGGACGTTAATTGGTAAAACTATTGAACTATGAATATTTTAGGTCCCACAGATGAAGAACACAGATTTTTTGCTTTCCACGATTGGGGCATATCAGTTTACGACCCTACAACGTGTAGGCTGCACCACATGATACAAGGAACCGATATAATTCCTGGAACACAAGTATAATAAAGCTTCGCTTCGTTAACAGCCATCAATATTTGTATCTCGTTTTTAGGAATACGTTTGCGGTGATCATGGTACAGCATGCTCATGGGGCAGAGCTGTATCGGTATCAAATAGGTATATTTACGCTTCGCAACCTACTCTAGATCGGATTCTTGTAGTGTCCGCAGTTCAAATGGCTGTAGTCGATGTGGTTGGCACTGATAAGGTTCCAGTGGAATTGGAAAAAGTTTCCCATTTGGATCAGTTGTGGTTGCTTAGCTGGAGAGAAGGGAATGATACTGGAGTCAAAACAATACAGGTAAAGATCGATGAGAGTTTGGGAAGGTTCAGACCTTGATAAATTGAGGCTTCTGGCAACCCGTCGTCTTTCCTCTGTAATTTTCGTAAATAAACTTGTGTACTAGTATAATAAATTACCACAAATAAAATTATACTTAGAACAACTTTCTAAAAACAATTCTTCGTTTATAGGTTATAAGGGATGCAACTCAAAAGAGAAAGCATCACACTGTCCATCCGGAACCGATCGATGGACAATTTGATATGGTCAAGGAACTATTTTTGCCGTATTCTTTCCAAGAAATATCACACTATACCTACAAGTACGGTTACGCGACTCACACGAACCAGAGAGGTCTTTACAAGTTGGATTTGGAAAACCTACGATACACTCGCTCCGTGGATTTAACTCCGCAAAACTGCGTTCCAGAGCAAATACAGTTTTCAGCTTTGTGTAAGTGCTTCTAACGCTCCAACTGAATTTTCTAATGATATTCTTTCATAGATGGTTTTGTCTTTATGGAATGTAGAGAACCGGTTACAAGAAAACCCACCGGTCAGCTTGTGTTGGACTATTTGACAGATGCGGTAATATCCACCGCGCCAACGCTGTTTGGTAAACCCTACTTATCGCCTGACTCTAGAAAACTGATAACTTTCGACCGGACTCCGACAGGAGCCACGTTGATCGTCCAAGAAATCAGAGGCAAATATCAACATACTCAACTATTAAACATTATTTTTAAAATATCTATTTTCAGCTCATGGACTGGATTTCCTCTTTGACGTCAAGACTAGCCTTAACATATCAGATATAACCTTTTATCCCAGTCAAACTACCCATAGCTATGATTTATACGCTAGCGGCCAGAACAAGGAAGATCTTTTGTTTGTCAACCTTCATACTGGTAATTCTAGTGATTTATTAATTTTTTACTAACCACGCCTCCATCTTCCTTATCAGGAAGTTAGATATATTTATCAGAATGTTTTCTCGGAACAAAAGATGCAGGACAAGCGTACAAGAAGAGTGATCTTATCGATCTTTTAGATGATTTACCAGAACTAAATCAAGTCCTCTTTTTCTCTGTGCGAAGAATGCGCAATAATCTGTCTTCGGATGTTGTACAAGCATCGAGTGTTCAACAATCTTCAAGGCGGATGTTCCAGCTGTCAAAGTCATTCCGAACCACTTTGAAAGTTGTTGCTTGATAGTCGGTTTGAATCATCTTGTAAATCATTTCATTGTACCAGATTCCATTGGAAAATCGTTCGACATCTAGCATGGTGACTCCAGTTGTGTTCTTTTGCCCTGAATCCAAACTCCTCTTCCGGAATCAACTCGAGGTGTTCAGCTTCCTGTATAATCCTGAAGTTGATGACTCTTCTTGAAACTTTGCTCAGCTGTACATCATTTCTTATTTGAGGCCAGTAATATTTCTGAACAATTTGGCCTAAAGTTTTGAAGACACCCAAATGTCCACAATCTGGAGCAACGTGATAAGATTTGATAATATTTGGACGCTGATCTCTCGGTACAACCCGGTACAACAATCACTTAGAGTGGACAAGGATGGGTACTTTACCTTAGCTGGCTTAAAGAGCTTGTTTTTATTAATCCACCAAACAGGGTATCTAGAAGGATATTTAGTAACATTACTGAACAACCTCTTAAACCACTTATCCGAAGTGTCTGGAGATACTTCGGAATCATCAGACACACTTTGGATATTCGTTATAGCCTCTATTACTGGAAACGATCTGGACAAAGTATCAGGAACAACGTTTTATTTTCCTTTTTGATCAACCACCTCAAAATCTTATTGCTGGAGTCTTACAGCCCAACGAGCAATACCTACGTCCAACCGGGTCTTTAATTGAATTAAGCCACTTCAAGCTATAGTGGTCAGTGATTATAGTGAACTTGGTACCCTCAATGTAAGGTCGTAATTTCTCAATCGCAAATAACATTTCTAAACACTCCTCTTTGATTGTCGTGTACTTCCGTTCATTCTGATTTAGAGATCGACTGAGGTAACATATGACGTGCTCTTTGTCATCTTGCATCTGCGTTAAAACAGCTCCAAGTCCGAAATCAGATGCGTCGCACTGTATTGTAAGCGGCTTGTCAAAATCAGGATAGGACAGTACGGGTGCATTCACAAGATATTCCTTAATGGCTTTGAAAGCATTGACACAATTTTGGTCCCATAAAAACTTCTTTCTGGTTAAAAAGGGAAATAAAGAAAGAAAAATTTGGTACAAATCTTCTGTAGCAAGATGCAAGACCAATGATACGCCTTACCTCGCTAATGTTCTTGGGAGAAGGGATGTCAAGTATTGCCTTGATTTTTTCAGGGTCCACCAAAAGTCTCGACGAGTTGACCACGTATTTCAGATACTTTAACCCATCCTCACAAAACACGCATTTCACCCAATTAAGAGGTAAACCAGCCTTGACGAGACGATTGATTACCGCACGCAAAATTCTCAGGTGATCCTCAAAAGTAAGCGTGCAGATAATCCCATCATCCAAGTAAACAAAAGCGTCATTATCAAACTCGACACCAATAACACGGTCGAGAAGCCTTTGCCAGATAGCAGTGGCATTGGTGAGACCAAATGGCATTCGCTTAAATTGGAAGAGTCCACGAAACGGGACGGCGAAGGCGGTAAGGGATTTTGATGAATCTGCGATAGAAATTTGCCAGTATGCTGACTTAATATCTAGCGTACTGAGATATCGTACGTCACGTAACTTGTCCAAAGTATTAGAAACCCACGGAAGAGGATAGGAATCCGAAACTGTAACTCGATTAAGAGCCCCGAAATCCACGCAAAATCTCCAACCGCCAGATTTCTTTTTGATCATGACAATTGGGGAAGCCCATGGAGACTCGGAAGGTTCTACAATACCATCGGCAATCATTTTATCCAACTCAGCATTCACCTTTCTCTGCAATACTCGGGAGAGTGGATAATAACGCTGTTTTATCGGAGGTGAATCAGTCTTTATGACCAATTCCACAAGCGTGGTACATCCCAGTTTGTCACTCATTTTCGTGAAAGTCTCGGCAATTAAGGCATGTAAGCTACGTTCCTGTTCAAAGGTTAAATTTCCTCTGCTCACCACTCACCGGCGTAAAGGTCGGGAATGATTCCTATTCTGGCACAGAAATCAATTCCAAGAATAAGTGGATGAGGAAGAGATGGGACTATCAATACATCAATAAGAACCGTACGTTCTCAAAGAAGGAGAGGCAATAAGAAGCAGCCAATGACCTGACACGTCTGGCCATTGGCCACAGTGCAATAGGAAGTAGTTGGCTCTAACTGACAAAGGGAACTCGAAGTTTCCCAACCTTCTGTTCCAAGGATAGTTCTGGAAGCACCACTATCAAGCAATCCAAGGAAAGACTTTCAATATATTTCAACGTGAAGGTAGGGACGTTCATCATTTTTTGCATGGGCTAGGACATAATCGAGTAAGATTTTTGGGGAAAAATTGACCATTGAATTTGACGTTAGGTAAGATTTTTGGCCTAAGACAGGTAACCTGGTTTTTTGAGCAATCTGGACAGGAGGGGGTGGTACAATCTGGCTTACCGTAACGATAGCAAAACTTTTTCCTTGGTTCACCATATTGCCCGAACCGATGACCAGATTTCTGGCTGTTCCAGCCGAAGGACTCGGACTTAGACATTGCAGAGATGGCGTCAATATTTGCAGAATTAACCAAGATCTGTTGGGGTTTAGAAATTAGAGTGTCGGCCTTGATAAGGGCTGTGTGGGCCAGATGAGTGGGCTTGTGATAAGCCAACTCTGGCTCCAATAAATAACGATAGTTAGTCGGAGGAGGTACGAAACGCAGTACGCATGCCTCTGTTTCTTCAATAGCTCGGCTAAATTGAATAAAACCTTTGAGAGAATAAACCTGTTGAGTAGCCAGTCGAATTTGTGAATATGGCAAAAGATTCCTACGAATAAGCTGAAGCTTAACTTCTTCAGAAGGATCCTGTGGTAATTTTCGAAAAAGCGATCCATAGCGATCACAAAACTTATTACTCGTTCCTGAGCACCCTGGGTACGTTTTCGAATTTCGTCCCACAAAGAAAATTCATAATCGTGGGGCATAAAAATTTTCTCGCAGTTGGGTTACCAAGTCGTCCCAGCTTTGAAATTTACTAGTACGGTACCACAAAAGGGTATCCTTAATGAATAAGTCAGAAGCGGAATGTAAAAGATGATCCTGCGTGACCCCCTCTAGACAACCTTAGTTCTTCGATTCTTTCCAAGAAATCTGACAAACTTCCATCATATTTACTGTTCCAACGACTGACATCCTTATAGACCGAGAGATGACTATCACACGGGGGTTGAAAGGAGCAATTATGGACTGGTGAATAATTCAGATCATTAAAACGTTCAACAAGATCTGCCAAAGAAATAGTTTGTAACGAATTTACAATATTAGGGGGATTCTCCTCGTTATCTAGATCAGAAAAATGAACCTGCGAAATGCGACCTGTTCGATCATTTCTATCGCTCAATCGTTCGGCATTACCATTAAACGTAATGGGCTCACTTCCAGTCCCGCAGAAAAAGGATCATTATTTGGTTGGGCCACAGCAAATTATTGGTGTCTACAAAAGGATTATTTGCTTATTTTTACTAAATTTAAAAACACTTCTCTACCTTGTCACTTTCGCTCTTGCTTGGACAAAAAAGGGATTCGTCTCGGAAAGAAAAAGCATCTTCAAGGTTTATTGCTGTTCCCTTGAAATTATTGGAGATGAATTATGGCAATGGCGATTTAAAATTGCTAATTTTACTGTATTTTCTAGCCCGATTTTTTTCTATTTCAAAATACTACACATGCTCATATAGCAAAAAAAATATGTCACCAACTTGTTTATTACTGTTTCTGTCAAGTTTGGCAAAGCAGAAAATTCTATTGCTGTTCGCCGTTTGGCTAGCCAGACAATACAATGTTCTGACATTTCGGAGGACGATTCTGTCATCGCTAATACCAAAATCGGCACTCAAAATCCTAATATTGTGTATAAGTATTAGGTATTTGATAGTTGACAGAAAAAGAAACACATATGGGGATTTCAATTTTTATTTACATCCAACTGGTAAAAATAACGGTCAAAATTTAAACTCTATCGTGAATTCAACTATACCTTGTGATAAATTAAATCTCCATAAGATTTTTTGAATAGGTCGGCCATCTTCGTGTACCATTACATATCTGTACATTTTTTCTATATCTGCTGGTACTGCATATTAATGGGGGCGGTTCTTCAAGGAGCCAAAATTTCTCAATTTGTTTATGTTACATTACTGTCAATAGAAAGATTGCAAATGGATGAGTTATGACTGGAAAATGATAGAGGACCAGAAACTATCCACCCAAGTAGAGTTTCATGTAAAATAGGGCCATTATTGTTTCAATTGATTGGGATAAATCAGAGTCCAAAAATAGGAAGCTCCAATTAGCATGTCGATGGGAGATGTTTTGTTAAAGGCATCGTCTGTCATTACGATATCTTTGGGAATGTTCAAGTTTTGTGTGTTAAACGTAAATTCTGGTATATTTTTGGTGATTTTATCTGTAACAAGACAAGGTAAATTTATCAGGGAAAAGTTATTTAACATGGAAAGTATATCTACTTGGACGATTTTATATATTTTTGTTACACTTTTACCAAATTCCTCAACTGTATGCTTTACCTCAAATTCCTCAAGATTAAGTTTTCGAGTAAGTTTTCAGACATGAAATTTGATTGGAAGCAGTTATCGAGCAAAACTCGACAAATATGTGGCTTGTTTGAGTTGTCATATATAGTTACCTTTGCTGTGGGTGAAATGACGTATGGTTCTTGGGTGATGGTGAAGGTGTTTG